TTTTGCTTGGGGTTTTGGCGGCGGTTTTTAGTTCCCTGCCTGCCTGCTGCCAACGCTGCGTATGAGTAATTTGAAATCTTGCTTTTGTTTTTGTTATTCGCTCTTCTTGTGAGTGGGGGGTCTAGACGTAAGCCAGAGGAGTGGAGTTCTTTGCATTGTATTGTGTGTATGTGTGTTTAGGTCTTGACGATACTTTTTTGTGGGTCAAACCACAAAAATGGCGGCGGTAGCGATGGCGACATGAATTTTATACCCGTGCAGCCCCGCTTCTCCCTGCCACCATTGTGTTGCCTCGTTAAAGGTGGCTTTCAATCTATTTTATGACAGACCCTCTCACACTTTTTCTTCACTTTCGCCTTACCCAGTTTCCAGCCCTATCTCTTGCTCCGCTTCTCTGCTCCACACCCTCTTCGTCTTCTGGTTGTTCATTTCTGAGAGCTTGTCGACCACAATACTGTTATTTATGTGGATGTGGCTTTTGTTTTGCCGTTGCCGTTGCCGTTTGCCTCACTTTGCGCTTGGTTGATATTTGAAAAGGGTCCGGGTCCGGGTCGGGTCCTTGGCCTGCGGGTTTCGCCAATGCCATTTGTTGTCCTCCTGATGGCTGGCAGCGCAGCTGATTTGTTTGCTCTTCGTTCGGCGATTAAAGACATTTTACACACAAAACAGAGCGAAGGATTTTAAACGAATTTAAATTTGTTTGGCAAATATCATATGAAGAGTGGAAAAGGAGCCTGGCAAGAGTGTCGTACATATATGAAGGGATTATGAAGGGATTTGTTGTAAAGTTTATAAGTTTTTTTTTTTTGCACTATGCGCAACAGTAGTTATTTATTGCTTATATAATCCTCACCCTTATGCTCAAATTTATTTAAATATTTAATTTAATATACAAAGAAATTATTTAGAAAGCCGCTTAAAAGCTGCGCCATTCAGCTACAATTCAGCTACATTTATATATTTAAATTCGAAAATTATCATAAATACACCAAAATGTGCCTCTCGAAAGCGTGGAGCTGTTGGTTGGTTGGTTGGTTGGTTGGTTGGTTGGTTGGGTTTTTGCTATTTTATTTCATGCAAACGCAACGCAAAACAGGCGCAAAACCACGAATCATTTTGAGGTTCCACGAGCATTGCCACAAACCGCAAATATTTCAAACCATGGCCAGACATCAAATGCCTCCGAATGATGCCGGTTTCTGCCTGATTTGCCTAGTTGTCGTTAACATATATATTGTGTGTGTATATATACGTATGTATATATAGCTTGTGCAAACGTTGTGCAATTGCTTCCTGTATAGGTGCATGCATCCTGGCCATTAGCCTCAATTATATGTTTCATTTATTTCTACGGAATATTTGGCAAATATTTGTATTATTTTGAAGCGGAATATTATTATTATTATTTGGCTTGAAGCTCTTCAGGGGAATATTTAACTAGATTTGATTTATGAAATGTGAAAAATCTGCATGCAGCATTTTGATAATTGAAAATTGTTTCAAATATTAAAAATATTTAAAAAATTCAATTAAATAAAGTTTGCCATGCTGCAAATGTTTCTCAGTTCCGTTGCTATTTCTGATAGTTTTCGCATTTATTTCGCCCAAACTGCCAATGTGGGATCTATTTCCATGGAATGATGTGCAACATTCTTTGTGTAACATCATCCAGTGTGCTGTGTGCTCTGAGCTCTGAGGTCTGTGTTGTGCGCCTCATTATCGCCCGACGTTGCATCTACAGTACTAAACATAAACGTAAACGTTTTCATAGCACCGGAAGCCTCTCTATGGTACACACAGTCGCCCGCACACATTCCCTTTTTATACCCGACCAAAAAAGGGTATATAAGTGGGGCACGCAAGGGAACGTTTCACCCCATAAGACAATAGCCTGTCCGCTGCCGCCGCTGCCGCTGCCGTCTGCCGCTGCCGCCGCCGCTTGATGAGCGCCACGCCTGGACCAAATTCCAACCAGTGATATCACGCTAAGGATTCTCGCCCCGCCCCCTCCGCCCCACAAAGGACGAAAATCGGGCGGCCTGTCGATAAACTAAAACGCAGAGTAGAGCCCAACCAGAGCACTGAACAGACGGACTAATTATAGCCAGAATGGAAATAATTTTGTTGGTTCCTCCCCCCAGCGCTGCGACGCTACTGATCCTTTCGCCGCACACGCCGCGTTCAGTGCGCGAGCAACCCAGCGGGGGAGTAGATAAATGGTACATGTACAACTACAGTTAGGGGATCATTAGAGTAGAGTAATAACAGAGTAGCAAAAGTAAAAAAGTAAAATTTTTTTTAATTTTTAATAAAAAACATAACAAAAATATACTGACTGAGTACGGGTATAGAGAGCGCGCCCGAAGCGACCACACGCCCTATATTTGCCAACTGCATTTAAGCTGAATAATAATAAACTGGCAAAGCAGCGCCCAACAACGGCAACAACATCGGGGATAACTACTCGTACTATGTATAGCTGCTAAATGTGCAATGCCAGCACAAGGAAAAGCAGTGAAAATCCTTGCGTAATCGTTGCCGTTCACTGCGTTTCGCTGCGGGTAAAACTACTGCAACGCTAACACACACACACAGACAGGCACACAGACAGGCACACAGACAGGCACACAGCCAGGCACACTATGCCGTGTGGAAAATATTTATGAGCTCGGTTTTCACGCCAAATGCGTTCTTTAAAATGCTCAAACATCCAGGCATAGCCCAACTCCAACCCCATCGCACATTGCATCCTCCAGAGCTTGTAGCATCCCCCACAGGCTGCTTCACTCACCCTTTGGTGCTGGTCCAAGTGCTGCTGCTGCTTTTCCTCGCTTTGGCATTTTCCGCGTAATTTTCACAAAACGTTGCATTGGTTGTTGCACATTGCATTAGGCTGTGTGCGTGTCTGTGTGTGTGTGTGTATGTGTTCGTGTTCGTGCGCCTCTATGTATGTTAAGCATTGCGTTAAAGTGTTTATGTGTGTGTTTGTGTGCATTAGAAGCCAACAAGCGACAACAGAAGCAGCAACATCCAGCAACAATTTCTATACTCTTTTTGCCCGCCACATTTTCACTTGGAATATACCCCGTAGACGGCAGCGCAGGAGTTGCTCGAGTTACCCATAAATCCCTTAAACAATGGAAGCTTCAGAAGCTGCCAAAAAGCAGTCCACGATCCGCTGATCTTATTTGGGAAGATCAACTGTAGCTAGCTAACCAATTCTCCGCCGACTGCTTTGCCGCTGTTGCCTGTTACCTGCTTGTTTGGCCAGCACCCAGAACCAGGCCTTGTCCGCTTTATATGCTAATTTTGTTCAGGCAGCTGCCGCGTTGCTGCTGCTGCTGATGTTGCGCGTTCGTTTGAACGTTGCCTTTTGCCGTTGTCATAATTAAAACGCGCTGCATAATTGCCAAACAATGGCCATGTCCCGTTTCTGCAGCAGTCAGCACAGGGCAGAGGGCTGACACATACTGGCTACATACGGCTACCCATTCTTGGCCCATGGCAAACATACAGGCATGACATTCGCAGGCCCAGCAAATACACGTGCAACTGCAACTGCAACTGCTGCAACTGATTTTCTGTTATTTTCGGCTATTTGAATCGGAAGTGTGTAATGAGGAGCCATTGATGGGCATTCGAGAACAGGCGAATCTGTCATTCCACAGCCCAAAATTGAATAATGTTGGCACATAATCGAAGCAGCTCAGAACTCTGAGCGGGACTCTGAGCAAAACATCTCAAATGATTTGTTGCAATTTGAAAGGAGTTAAAATTGATGGCTGAAGTTTAAGGAATGCCAGTGATCTGCCATCTTTCTTTTCACTAATTTCCCAAAGCTTTCCAGGCATAGTTCGCTCCATTGAGCAGCAGTCTCTGGTGTACTCTGCCAAAATTCATCTGCTTAATTATATTCTCCCATCCAAATATGAATTATATTTTTAGAAAATATTATTTGCAGTTTATCTGTCGAGAGTAATCGAAGTGTGAACTAACAATCAATAGCTGAAAAGATACTACAAATCGCCACAAAGAGCTGCCGCTGGAGCTGGAGCTGGGGCTTCACTCAATTTGCCATTCTGTATGCAAAATCATTTGCACACGCCCCACAAAATATGCATATACATTTATGTGCGTATGTATATACGTAATATCCATACATATATATTCATATATTTATTTAAAATTTTGCGCTCTTTTTGCTTCATTAAAAAAAAACAAAAAAAAACAAAAACGAACGAAAATTTTGGAAAGTTTCGATAAGGGGCTGTCGTTTATGCTGTGGGTTTTTTTTTTTTTGGTGGGTCCTTGCTGATTCCATGACACGGCAGCCATAAAATACTCGACCAAAGTGCACTCACACACACACACACATCAGCATTCGCTCCCCAACCACACACACACACACACACCACACACACGTACACACAAAGTGGGAGCCACACGTAGTTGTGGTTTCAATAATCAATGAGTTGATTTTATGAAATTTTCCGTACACCTCAGATGCCAGTGGGGCCACGACCCCACCCACCCCACTCGTTGGGGTTTTTCATTGGAGTGTGCAAAATTTTATTAACGAGAAATTTTTGGGGAATTTTTTGCATAAATATCGCATTGAAGCTGACAGAAAAGGCTAAAAGGAAAGTCAAAACATAGCACACAGGCCATGCGATGCCATGCCCTGCTCTGTTGCTTTGCTGCTCTCTGCTTTGTGCTTTGTGTTTACTGCCATTTCCCTCGCACTCCCAAAAAGGTCAAATGAATTTTAATTAATTTTTTAATTAATTTCCCACAGCACCCACAAGGCATCGGACACGGGCCCCAAACTTTTTGCCAAATGAAATCCAAAAGGAAATCAGAAATTCTATTAGTTAGTGGGGGACAATTCAAACTTCTTTGTGTTGGTGTGTGGGGGAGACACATTTCTTATGGCTTTGTGCTTATCAAATACTCGTATCCTCGTACTGATATTCTTTATGTCTGTTTTTTGTCTCTTGCAGAAATACGGTATTTAATTTAAGCATACACGATCTCGCTGAACAGCAGCGTCTGGTGTGGACATCGCCGGAGGATGATACCAAAATGTGTCTCGTCAAGGGCAAAGATGAGGTGAGTACAGCAATAAAAATATATTAATTAATAGAGAAAACCGGCACGCCCAATAGCTTAATCTTTAAAGCCTCAATAAATGCTTGAGACATTAAAATATGGTGACGTTCAGCCAACGATTTTAATGAGAATTTGTGCCATTTTCTGGCACTTTCTTGTGCCAAATGCAAAATCTCATTTGCCATTGAAATCAATTTTGAATGCAGGAAGAGACAAGTTGGATTTGGCACCATGCAATCTCCGAGCAGCACCTGGCATAACACTCTTTCATCCCCTGCTTGTAATCAAAATACACGATGATTTATGTTTTTTTTTTTGTGTTCTTGATGTTTATAAACTTTTAAGCACTTTGGCCTGGATGGCCTTGCAATTTCCATTCGCATTCGCATTCGCATTTCCATTTCGATTTCAACTTTTGCTGTTGCTTCCGTTTTGTGAGTCGTTGCAACGCAAGAAATGTGAAAACAAAGCAATAAAGTGTTCATTCTCTCCCACTTTCTCTCCCCCGCTCTCTCTCTCTCTCTCTTTCCCACTCTAGCTGCAGTTTTTTTATGCGCTAAAAACATGGTAAACTACGAGAAGCTAGAAAGAAATTGATTTATGCAACTTTTTCTGCTGTTGTTGCTCGGTGTTTTTGTTTTCTCTTTCTTTGTGGCTAAGAAATCAGGGAAATTTATTGAAAACTCTTCGCCACTGCAGTTGACCTATTAAGAAAGTGTTGGGCTAACAGAGAGACGGAGAGAGAGAAAGGGCTGAAAAATGAGAGAGGAGAAAAATCAAAGCCCAAAAGCAAACTTTTGCTTAATGGAAATGGCAAACATTTTGGCTTTCAAATTGGTTTTTTTGCAACGTTCTGCTGCTTCTCTCTCTCTCTCTCTCATGCTCGCTGTTGCGCTTCCGTTTCCGGTCAAGCAAGCCAAATGGCGGCACACATACACAAAAACCAGAAGCAATGAAGTACGTAGGTTATTCCCTTTAGTTTACCTTTCGTTGGAATTTATAAAGGGTATTTTAGTTTTAATGAAAAGTAAATAAAACAGATCGGAATACCGATGCCAGGTACATAGTTTCTATACTCGCCTGTGGTCTGCTTATGCATCTTAAAAATAGGCACTCAAAAGCTGCTTGCTCTAGCACTAAAACTGCTCAAAAGCCAGGTGTTCAAAGAGCCAAATTAAATGTATTTTGCGCATTCTGGCTATAATAATAATCCGAACGCAACGATTTTTTGCAGTCAAGTCGCTGAGATCTTTATTTATGACTCTGCATTGGCGGTTATTTCGTATCTTCTAAATTTCAGATGCTTGACGATCATCCCCGATGCCCTTTTGAAAGGGTATTTAAGGCCGAGTTTCTGCCTCAGCTCTTCTTCTTTTTGCATGCTCAAGTGCACTTCAAGTTTAGCTTTTTCTGACGTAATTAGCCAACACTTGTTGGCTGGGCGTGCCCCAGTCATGGCAATAGCAGCTCCAGCTCCAGCTCCAGCGCCAACAGCAGCAACAACCACAGTGAAGGGCAAAACATTACCAGGTGTAATTTGTTGAACTCAATTTGCTTGCCGACTTCTTGGGGGGCCTTGGCTTTGCCCCACCCACTTACTGTGTTGCTGGTTCGTGTTATTTATGGCATCAACAAAAAAAGCAGCAAAGTATTAAAGTTTCTTTAGATTGGCCGCCGTTCTCAATGGAGCGGAGCGGTGTGGAGTGCAGGGGATTTGTGGCGTGCAAGTTTGCCATTTGCAGCAAAAGGTTTTTCTTGCTCTAAATATAAATGGCAATTGTTGGCCGCCAAAGCAGCAGCGAAAGAATAAACGAAAAACCTCAAATAGAAAAGTTCAAAATTTACAATTTTAATTAACTGACATTTTGGCCACTAATTTGGAGTCAACTTAATGCCAGTCAAGGAATACTTTTAATGCGGCATGCAATTAGTGGCAGCAGACAGCAATATACACAAGTCACGCCATACAAAGTTAGGGCTAAAAATAAAGAAATTAAGCAAGAAATTTCCCACAGGAAAGCTATAGAATTACTTAATTAAAGCGCAGATCAGATTGTGTGCTGAGTCGATAATGTGTGCGATATACTCGCGTGTGTGTTGTGTGTTCGTGTGTGTGTTTGTGTGTGTGTGTGTGTGTGTGTATACCACATATCGTGTTGGTGGAATGCTTTCATTTCCATTTTTTCCCGACGGTGCTTGGGTGGGGTGTTAAATATTTAATTGATTGATTTTTTGCCACAATATTTTATTAAAACTGCGCAAACAACACTCATAACAGGCACCACACCACGCCACTGTCCGGTAAAAATGAGCAATCAATATATATACATATCCATATGTATACATATATACATGCATGTATATGCCATCCATGAACTGGCAAATGGCGATTTATAAAAAATGCAAAGGCTGCTGCATTGTGGGCGCTGAGTACATACACTGAACATTTGAGCACATTTATGGCGTAAAAATAATCGTAAAACCATTGAAAATATTTATTTTAATTACTCAAGTCAAATATAAGTATTGCTGCTGATGAAATCATCTATTTGGATGTTGAAGTGAATACCCCATTAAACTCAGATCGAAACGCGCCTTCGAGCCATCTCCGAATGCACCGCAAATTATCTCCAGCTACGTTGCCATTTGGTTTGACTCTTGTCTGCCATCATTAAGCGTTTGATTTGGTTTGCAAATTGTTTTCCTCTCTGCCCTCGGCAGTTCTTCCATAACCAAGTGCACAGTCTGATGGAGGGATTGCACTGCCATTGAACCCCTGTCCATCGTATCCATTGTTCAATGTGAATGAATGCTCCTGCGTTTATGCAGAAGAGAAGGGCCAACACTTTTGGCCATTGGCGCCTCAGTTTTGGGTGTAGCAGTGTCTAATCTAGGCCTCATTCAGTCCATGCCTACACACACTCATTTATCTCACTTGTTGTTCCGAGTGCGGACTGTTTTCAGGCCTGGTCTGGTCAGCCTACTGATAAATCATTTGTGCCTGCTGGCATTCGAAAGTTTCCATTTCTGACATTTTGCAGGGCTGCCTTTTTTTTTTGCAGATAAACTTCGCTCCGAAAGTCAAACATAAGTCACATGATTATGTGCCAAATGAGTTTTTGGAGTTGAATTTAAAGCAAGATTCCGAGAATCCTTCCCCCAAATCAAATCGGACATACACAAAAATCAGGCAAAAGTAATATCCTTCTGCCGCATCAATCACACTTCCCACATTGCTGCAGGACAAGGCAAGGCGGGTGGAAGAAAACTTTACAGAAAGTACCAGAAAATTTTGTGTTGGCTCTGTGCTGTGTGGCTGCCAAAGCGCCTGCAGGTAGGCAACAATTTCGTTAATGATACACAAACACCAAGACCAGACCAAGGACCAACGCAGAGAGCGAGACAGAGAGAGAGTGAGGGAAAGGCATGAGAAAAGCATTTTACTTAATAATTTTTAAACATGAAAAATGAATGACAGGCCGAGGACAGCCAGAAGGCAAAAATCTGGATTACATTTTGACTCGATTCACTCCTTCAACTCGGCCCAGTCCTACCCAATCCCCCACCGTTCCCCGTACCCCATTTCATATTTAAATTTTCAGCCAGAAATCAATATACGGAATTATTTTTTGGGCTAACATTCCCCAGTCTTTTTGGTTATCTCTCGCATATTTGCAAATGCTAAAATTTGCAGCCGAAACCAAACTAAATAAAAGTATTTCGGCAAAATAAAACTAAACTGAAATAAATGGAAATTCCTTTGACAGATAACGAGAGAGAGATAGAGAGAGAGAGTCAGAGAGAGAGAGAGAGAGAGATGGAATGTGCCATATTTTATGTGATAATGGTATGTAAAACTAAAAGCAAAAATTATTTATTAACCAGCAGAAAACAACAACCGGCGCCAGCCGCAACATTTCGACTGAAAATTAATAAATTTTCCAGTTAATTGCATTCTAAACAATGAGCCCTTGCATATGCATATGTATGCATGTGTCTGCTATGCGTGTTAATTACAACAGAAATAATGAGAGTACAAAAAACGTACATACAACAACAAACAAGTGCGGACACTACTACCAGCCCTCTTTGCCGTAATTGTTTTGTTAATTTATTTAAGTTTATGCACCGACAACTGTGTTGGTTGGGCACACACAGAACAAGGCCAAAAACATGTTAAATATTTCAAAACAATAAACTAAATGAAATGGAAACGAAACGAAACGAAGCGAACTTTGTGTGTGCAAAACTAAAATGGGAGAGAATACAGAATAGAGTTGATAAACAGACAAGTGAATGAACTAACTAATGCATAATTTTTACGGAACTAAAAGAACTTCTTGCTCTTGTCCCAACTAAATTAAAGTCAGAGTTGGGCAACACTTTTAACATAATCAAGTGGGGAAATAAACGAGAGGATAATGCCCATATTTAATATAGCAGAGTTCGTTATTCTAATAGAGGTTTCCAAGTGAAAAGAGATGCCAGTTTTATTTATTTTTTCCATTCAAATTCACCTGCCCTTAGCAGATTATTCTTCGCTAGTTCTTTGGGTTTTTCTATGACTCTTTCGATAGCTGTTCTCTATTAGAAATCAGGCTACCACTTGACACTTTTCCGTATGGTAAAAGTCACATATTGTTCTTAATTTATCAAAGAAATGTTGACAACTTTTTTTTGCTTAGCTCAGCCTGAGCTTAAGACCAGAAACGTAAATCAACTTCATCCGTATAATACGCCAGAGAGTGAAATCATTGCCCCAATTACGCAAAATGCTGCATTCTGCATGCTGCATGCTGCAGAATCTTGTGAATAATTTCCATTATATTGTATGCACGTGTATGCAATTATTTTCATGTCCTGCACGCCCCCCTGCCCGACCGTGCCTACTGCAGTGGGCCAATCAGAACAATGGCATTGTTGTGGCCAATGATGCCAACGGGTGGATAGGCAAATGACTGAAACCAAAGCGACACAGAATGTGGTAACAACATGGGCTTGCTGCTGCTGCTGCTGATGGCAGTGCAGTGCAGTGCTGGCTGGCTGGTTGGTTGGTTGCTTGCATAAGAATGACAGCGAAAAACTGTGCAAATTAGTAGGCAAACAAACAAAATGTTTAAATATTTTAACGCAGAGAAGCACAGAGAGAGGGAGTGCCACGATGCAGAATGGAAACTGCTGCCAGTAGGGAATATTGCAAATGATTTGTCATGTCAGAGTGCAAACACTTCCGGCTGTAATGGCTGCTGCGAGGCTGCTGAGTGGTGGGTGGGGGTGGCAGGTGAGGGTTTATATTCCTGGCAACAATTTTCCGCAACTATGGAGAAAAGTTGTCGTTGTCGCTGCGTATTCTCCCTCCACTCCCCCGGACTATGCTAAATGGGAGCAAGTTACACATTTGCCTTTTAATATTTATTGAGTTGCAGGTGCCACCCTTCCACTCTCTCTCTCTCTCTCTCTGTGTGTGTGTGTGTGTTTGAAGTGCATTCGTTACGCATTAAATATTTCAATTTGCAAAACATTTATGCAAAGCACACACAAGGAGAAAGAGTTTAGTTTCAAAACACACAAAGAGAGAGAGGGAGAGAGGGAGAGAGAGAGAGTAATGTTGTGGAGCATTCAGGTCAAGCCCTCTGCTTGGGGCCTGCCTGCCTGTGGCAAAAATTGGTAGAGCCTTTTGTGCAAGTTTTTTTTATTCGAAATTCCCTTTACGCAAAAGCTACTTCAAATGCCTCCGGGGGGGGGCTTACGTATTCCGAATTAAAACTTTTAATGGAAGCTCTTAACTAAGGGTTTTTTTTTCAGTTTCGACTCTGACACAAAGAACGCGCAAATTATTTAAATGGAAACCTCTGTGTGTCGTGTCTCAGCTTGAAAGACTTGAAAGGTTCTAAACAGCATTTTCTTGCTCATTTTCACTGACTCTTTTTAAATGCCAATTCCTGGGGAGTGACCTTTGAATTCCGAATATGATTCTTAATCTCTGATTCTTCGATAGCATACCATTCTAATACCGGTTTTCGTCATTGTTCTTTTTACAGGAGGCCTGCCAGAACTATATCCGCATCATGGTGGTGCCATCGCCGGGGCGCCTCTTTGTGTGCGGCACCAACTCCTTCCGGCCCATGTGCAATACGTACATGATCAATGAGAACAACTACACGCTGGAGGCAACCAAAAATGGTCAGGCTGTCTGCCCCTACGATCCCCGTCATAACTCCACCTCCGTGCTGGCGGGTAAGTGCACATTTTACCTCCCCAATACGAGTATATACCACGAATATAAACCTTATCCATTTTTTTGTTTTTTGTTTTATGTTTTATTATTTTTTAAATTCTTTTCATTTCGAATATTTTATTGTGGGTGCAACTTCTTTTCTTTTGTATTGTGAGTGCGAATTTTCTATTTGGTTTTGTTTGCCGGAACAAAAGGGTTCACCAAAAAAATTCCATACGTGTGGGTGTGAGTGTGTACCCACACTCTCGCACCCACTTTTACCATACACACAAATCGGATAAAAATTGTCATTCATCATGCCAGGCCATGCCAGGCGATGGGTTGCCTGGACCTACTGAACATTTTTTTCAACTGTTTTTTGACTTCTTCGATGAGGTCGCATGATATATTTTTAGTATTATTGCACGGCTGGGCCGATGCCGATGCCTGCCTGCCAACCTGCGAATTATGTGCGAAATGTATTTCGTGGACACTCTGCAGCAAGCAACCGATAAAAGGATTTCGAAATTTCCCATTTGCTTGATATTTGATTGAAATTTATGGCCTGGCACCTGACACCAGGTGGCTTGACTCTGTGTGTGCTTCTCAAGTGCATAAATTCACTTGGGCGAACAGAAATTGTGAAATTGTGGGCACATTTAAATGAATAAAACTAAATGGAAACCAAAGAGAACGATGGCTTTCACATGTCTGCAGATAGCTGCAGTAGAATGCAGCCATAATCTAAGGTTTATCTCAGTTGCAACTAGCTAATATTTTCTATCTAGTAATATTTTGCCAAGAATTGCAGCAAATAGAATGAAATTTTATTCGTTTCGCTTGCATACATAAACCACCAGATACGCCAACCAATAAACAGACACATTTTGTGGGCACCCTTGCTCCCTCCTCCGTGCTGCATCCACGCTGAGTCATAGTTTTGATAGTATTTCCACTTGGCACCCATAAATCGACATTCCCGTTTGGCGGCATGTTGTGAAGTTTTCGCGCTGTGATTTGTTTGCATTTCATTGTCCTCAGCCAACCCAACGAAAACTTTCCCAGAGCCAGGAGAGGCAGAGCAAACGAGTGGGGGAAATAGATAGTAAGAAAGAGCGAAGCAGCGGGGCATAGATAATATTGATAAACGTTTATAACTAACTTGAAAGTGTGCGAGAGCAGCAGCACATGTGCTGGCTGGCTGGCTTGCTGGCTTGCTTGCTGGCTGGCTGGCTTATTGGTGTGAGGAGGGGACCAAGTGTTGCCACAAACTTCCGCCGGATGCAGCTATCATCCATGCATGTGTACGTGTGTGTTGGTGTTTCTTGGCGATTTGCCCAGCTTTCGCCTTCCCCGCCATGTGGGTCGTAAGAGTTTATCATCAACAAGCTGCCACATCCTGGCCAAAAACGAAGCCCAACCTGAAGCCCGTTGTCAGCCGCCATTTTCTTTATTGCTTGCCGCAATTTATATATACCCCTTAGCCAGTGATACGAGCATACCAGGGTATACACGATATGCGGTACGTTTGAGTTTTGAGCTGAAAAGCTCTGAAAAGGGTTGAGTGGGAGTACTTTCAGAATTGTTTTTTATTTTTTTTTTGCAGTGGATATAGAACCTCTGCAGCATGTCATTTAATGTTCATCACGAGGTATTTTTCTGGCCTTCATACTTCTGCGGTTTTGCCAACATTTTCCTTGATTCATCCGCTTTTTGTTCTTATTTCACTTTGACTTGCTTTCATGGTGCTAATATTAAATCGAAATTTTTACATACACACACCGTGCACCGCACACCCCTCGCCCTGTGTCGTTAGTCATTTGGCGACTGTCGGTTTTCAGTGCTCGTCCTGACAGCATTTTCGGATATTAGTGTAGGGAATCGGTCTGGACTGGGAGCTGGGAGCTGGGGACAGTGATCGGGGATGGGATGGTTAGCTGGGGCATGTTGTTTAGATTACAAATTGCCCCGGACACAGACAGCGCATAAAAAAAAAAAAATCCCATCGTGCTGCAACAGCTACTAGAAACTCTAACAAACAACAACAACAAAAAATAGACAAATTTTTTTGGGTGGTGAAAAAAATCAGCAAAACCCCCGAACAAGCTGAAAAATGTTATCAATTCAGTTTTTATTCGTGACAGGGCGTTGATGTCAGGGGTTGACGGTCGGTGGGGGCGTGGTCGGTAACTGGCACAAAACTTTTCCTCCTCACCCACCCACTACTCTGGCCCGTTTTTTCTAACGCTCTTTCGCAAAAAGTTGGTGGACAACATTTTTGTGCCAATTTCGTTGTAAAAATATTGTTGTAACCATGATGAAGTTTTCAATTGGTTTTTCCACCAATATACGACATCTCCGCTTGGGTCCCTGCCCTTCTTCCGACCTCATTCCAGTGCCAGTTTCATTTGCCACACTTCGTGCTTCAATACGGACGGAAGCTATCTATTTTTGTTCGATTTAAAAAGTGCATGTGAAATAAATTCCTATTGCCCGACAGTGTCACCCATTGATCCGTAGATGGCCGGGCACTGGCCATAATACCAAAACTTTCCGAATAAAAAGAATTAAAAGCCCGCAAAAAAAAACAACAAAGCAAAGGAAGCGCGAAAACCATTCGAGCGGTAGATGGAGGTGAAAACGGATGAGGAAACACGTATTAGCTGGCTTTGTAGTTTAATTTGTTAAATGTTTTCCCTGGGAATTAGAGCAGAGAATGCGGAGCTGGAAGGGTTTTTAAATTACGCAAAAGTTGAACTAATTCTGCTCCGTTCAATGGCACTTTTTGTCTGTCATTTAATCACTTCGTTTCCACTGAAGATCTTTGCCATTGAACCCCTCCACTGTAGTGCCAGCTACATATTTTTGTTGGGGTCAACTGGCACCATTTTGTAGCTGCTTTGAATATTAAAATGCCTCCATCCAGATGCTATGTAGGACGCCCAAGGGGCCCACCATTTTGATGCCCTCGACCTTTGTGGCACTTGAAAATATGGCTTAAATGTCTTACCAATTCGCACACGCCTCAGAAAACAATGCAAAGAATAGTAATAAATAATTTATAAGTGCGCATTTGCCACATTAATCACGAGCCAACGCTGCCGCCAGCAGCAACAACGTCCAAGTGAGCGGAGAGCGGGCGAGAAAGCAGTCGGGGGGGCGGTGGAAATAAAAAGAGGAAAATGGCCAACAACGAACGGGGCCAAATCCCTTGGCAGCAAAGTTTTCCCGCTCCAAAGCCGACGCATATTAATTTCGGCACACTCAACCCCGTGAATGTGGATCCTGTGCTGCCTGCCTGACTGCCTGCCTCTTGGTGGGTTTGTTGGTGGGGTTTTTGGGGGTTCCTGGGCGCCATCTCCTGGCCACTGGCATTGGCCCGGGCACAGCGAAGCGTACAAATTGCCATCACTTGCGTTCAATTTTAGACTTTTCCAAGCAAATGCACAAACGCGATTAAAATGCTGACGAATGGCACGGGAGGAATGGCGGGGTGACAAGGGATTGTGCTGGCGGAAACAAGGGGCAAGGCGTGAGGCGAAAGGCGAAGCATGGGGTCAGACATTGGCGCCAACGAAAAATGTCAAGGACTCGGCAGACCGTGCGGACCGTGAGCCCTGAACCGGGAACAACATTGAAAAACGGTTGGCCACGATGAGGACCAGGACCAGGACCACGACCACGACCGGCATCGCTATCGGTACCAGATTCAGGAGCAAGCTGCATTTGCATATCACGCAAAAACCGCTCCAATTTCGCACCACATTGGCTGTCGATTTTTGGTTGGGCAGGTTAAGGCCTCCAATCCGAACATCCTGCCATTCCTGGGCCCTGGGCCCTGGGCCATTGGCTATTTCTGTATGTGTGGGTGCTGTGCTGGTGGCAACTTGACCTTTTTCATTATAAGCCGTAGACGAGAAGAAGAGTTCAAGAGAGGTGCATGCTCGTTAAATATTTATGTTTAATCGTGAATTTATAATTAACAAAGATATTTCCATACATGAATACACAAGTGGCCAGGCAAATGATGGGAATGAAGTGAAGAGATATTACGCGTGAATTTCAGAGCCAATAAAGCGAGTGTATTGAGTGGTGAAGCTGCAAAGATATAGAACCCTCTGCATAAATGGACATAATTTATTTTAAATTAATCATGATGAGACACTTTAAGACTTTGATATATTGGTTGTAATATTTGCTCTGCATTTTCGATAGTTTTTGTCTCTTCAAATATACGTGTATATGTAACAATATTCCCTGAAATTTATTTTACTGGAATTTTCGTTTGTTTCAACCTTCGCTCAGTAGTTTAATTTACCAAAGCGAATAAAGGACAGCTGGGGTACAAAACCCGAAAATGCATTTTGACAAAATGCGGGGCCAACGGCTAACATATGGGGCGCTAGGCTCGCGCTGGCGTGGGCGTGGTACCATCGGGCATATAAAATGAATATCAATGAACAGCCCGAGCAGGAAAAACACTCAACCACGTGCGCACGCAACAATAAAACAGCAGCTCTGCTCTCCACACGAGAGCAATAATAAAAACAAAACAGAAAAACAGAAACAGAAACCGGAACAACACCAAAAGAGAACTGGGTCACGGCTCCCAGATGCTCGTTAATCGTGGGGGTGGGCGGGGCGGTGCTGTACACCCCACCCATCCATACGTGCCATGTCGCCGTGCGGCCGTGCTTATGACTCATGCGACCGATGGGGAACCGGATGCCTAAAGTTTTCACGCCGAAGATCTTCCACTGGCAAGAAAACTTTATTTTGGGCGGTTCTTTGTTCACCGTCCTCGATAGTATTTGTATTTTGTATTTTAATTCATAGTATGAATTTCATGCTCTAAAATATTCTAAAAAGAAAACAACCAAGAAAAAGAATAAAAAGTGAGAAAAAAAAAGATTTTTACACCTCTCCCCGACGGGGAATTGAACCCCGGTCTCCCGCGTGACAGGCGGGGATACTGACCACTATACTATCGAGGATGTTGCGAGTATCGTGTCCGACTTAT